TCAGTTCTTTGATGTCTTCCTGCAGCAGTAAGGAGGCACCGGCAGAAGATGGATGAAGCTGGGTGCAGAGGGAACAAAATGAAATGGTCTTTCACACAGGCAGTGGAAGATTGGTGTAAGTCTGTTGCCAAAGGATATTTCAGGTGATAAAGGTTTACGAGAACTCATGGTGAGACTGGATAAATACCTGGAATAGGAATTCACTGAGGGCTACTAAGTACACAGAAATTACGTTGCTCTGAGGAAATGTTCCAAACTCAAAGCAGCTGGAGGCTTGCAGGATAGCTGAGAGAAGGCTTTCCTTAGGTTTGCCCTTCGTCTGGTGACCACTTGCAATCACTGCTGAAGACAAGCTGTTGGGTTAGTTGGACCCTAAGGCACATGGCCTCTGTTCTTTTCTAAGGAAAGAAGAGAGCAAGTCACCAGGGGAAGAAAAAAAAAAAATCTGCATACTTTCAGCTCTCATGTGTGTTAAATGCTTTTTTCCAGTTGGATGTTTCGAAGGGAGATACTCACATATATTGAGTTATTGAGTGCTCACAAGATGAATAGTCCAATCAGAGTCCCCTGTGGCACAACTGCGAAAGAAATATAAAGCAACTTACAGCTGTTCCTGAAAAAAACCGATGGCAAAGTGGAATGGAGCAATGAACTCCCTGTTTGTTTCCACACGTATTTGCATGTAAACATTGTCCCCGCGTTATCTGAAAGATCTTGGCAGCAACACAGCCAACTGAGCACCTCCAACCCAGCTTTGCCTTTGACCACTATCAGTGTTTGTGTTCCTGTTTAAATAAGATAATGGAGGTGGGGGTCGATAGAGCAGAACTGTCTGCCTCACCTGTGTAGAAATTATCATCCTGATATTTTACGAGAAGTAAGAACGGTGGGGTTTTATTTTCTTTCCTTTTTTTCCCCCCCGAGAAGTTTGTTTAGAGAATCTGGAATATCTCTCTCTTTTGAAAATCCTTTGTACTGAAAAAAAAAAAAAAAAAAAAAAAAAGCTACTGCAGAGTAAAATCCATGGAAAGACCAAGGAGGGGTGGGGGTTGTTGAAAATCTCTCTAGAGGTTAAACCTTTCCTCCCCTGCTAGGTGGTTTCTTTTGTTTTTCTCTGCTTTGCCTTTGTTTGTGGCTTTCTCCCACTTGGCTCCGACAGAATTCGCTGCCTTTCTCGCACACGGAATCAGTCAGGCCGTCCCTAGGTTCATGCTGAGGATCTGTAAAGTTTTCCGAGCCGAAGGGAGTCACATTTACAGCCCAGCCTGTGTGGGGGTGGCGAGGAGAGAGTAGGGGTATCAGCACAACAGGGGCTCTGCCTCCGAGCCGCGGTGCCGCTCAGTTCTGCTGAGCACTTGCAGGCTGTGTAATTAACCGTGGGAGGCAGTGAATTAAATCTTTGTAAAGCCCACCGAGCGGGGGGTTCCTGCGAGCTCTTTTCCAACCGGTCTCAGGCGGCTGGGATATAACATCAGCCACAGCAGCAACGGCGGCGAGCGAGAAGCGGGGAGAGCCAAGCCCCGCTCGGTTCGAGTGCTCCCGCCGGCCGATGGACAAGCTCCGCGGGGCCCGGCCGCTGCGGCTGCTGCTGCTCCTGGCGCTGCTGCCCGCGCTCCGGGGCCAAGGTAAGTGCGGGAAGCGGCACCCAGCGCGGGAGGCCGGCGGGGGTCCCGGCGGGCTGCCCGAGGGAAGAGCGGGAGTAAACTTAGAGCGAGGTGCCGCCGGGCTTCCCTGCGGCTTTCAGCCCCCCCTCTCCTACTCCTTTCTCGCCCGTGCCCCTGGACGTCCCGGACGGGCTTTAAAGCGCCGCTGCCACGTTCTTGCGAGGAGAAAGGCGTGGCGAGCACCGCGCCCGAGGCTCCGGGCAGGCAGGTTAGCTGTGCCGCGCGGAGCCGGTGAGGCGGCTGGGCCGGGCGCGGCCCGCTGGGTTCGGCAGCCCTGGAACAGCGACACGAGGGGCCCCGAGGCCGGCCTCGCAGAGAGGGCAGGTGTGAGCCGCCGGGCAGCCGGCTGCACCCCAAAAGTGGGACTTGGGTTCGAGGGAGAGCTGGAGATGTGGCCGAAGCAGGAGGCAGTGAGGCAGGGCGCAGGCCTGTTGAAGGCAGAACGTGAAAAGTCCGAGTGGCACTGAGTGGTGGAGTTGGTGAGGAGGGCGAGGACCTGGGTCCTGCTGGCCCTGTCTGTATGCCGTGCACGTATTTGCCTGTTCTCTCGGCGCCGCATCAAAAGACGATATTGGTTTGGTTTGACTCGGCGGGGCATATGAAAGTGTAACTGTTAAGACGTCAGAGAAGCTACTTTCATGCTGTGACAGTGCGTTCATCATAGCTAGTGGCTAAGTGGCATCTGTCTGCCAAACTCTGAGGGGCCGTTCAGAGCTCAGGCTGGATCATCCTGCACGCCAGCAAACATTTACAAACACGTGGCCCCCGACCTAACGACGGCAGACAAAAGCCAGTGAGGTAATTTATTATTTACTATCACTGCATTTTGGCTCTTGGATTTCCCAATTGCGTGGCGGTTGTCACAGCCGTCCTTTGAAATACTTGCTGTGGATGGAGATGTTAGCCACTCCTTTTAAAGACGGAGGAACAGAGTAAGGAGGGAATTGGAAAGCGAAGTTTGGTGCTAAAATCCCAGGATAACTTATATTTTTTGAGGACAGGGTACTTTTGTGGCTTTGATGTTTCACAAGGAAGGGACTTAATAATATTGACTGCTGAAAATTGCTGTAAAATACTGAATGACTTCACTTCGTAATTCAGTGTACCTTTAACTCATTCACTATATATCATAAAATATATGACATAAAATACGTCATTGGATGTGCAATGTCAGGTTTTTGAAATTTATTGCAAATTATGGACAAATTTGGCAGAAAAAGGTATATCAGGTCTTTATTCTCAAATAAAAATCAGAACTCCAATTTCACTGGGAATTGCTGTGTCTTCAGAATTCTAAAACAGTAAATTAGATAAAACTAGACTTAAATTTCTAAGGGTAAATGAGGGTCCTTGTTTAGGATACTGCTTCTTGAAGAGAAGACTTTGCTCAGATAAAGTATTATTTGAAGATGTAGATATGCTAAGGAAATTACTAGTAATTGTAATCACTGTAAGATTTTTCTTTTACATGGCCATCTGTGTTTTGCAGGCAAATGAGCTACTTACATGGCAAGCTCATATTGTTTGAGTGTACGCTCTTTGGGGCAGAGTCTCCTCTGTGTGAGTAGTGTAAAGAGGCTTGGGATAAAGGCAATCTCGTGAGGGCTTTAAAATGATGTAATTGTCACATTATCAACTTATTTCTGAAATACAGCCTCCTCATAAACTTGTTTCTTTCAGCTTTCTTATTTGCTTTTCTCTTCTAATGAATTATCAGATCATCAGTATCTATTGATTAAAGACCTGGGGCTAAGTTCAGGGGAACTGCCCAAAGCATGTGAAAATAGAATGCTTGTAAGAATGTGCATACTTAAATTTTATGATGCAACTTCATTTTGCTTTAGACATTACACTTTTATTATAACATTTTTTGCTTATAAACTGCCATCCCTACTGAAAAAGATGGATTAGTCACATCATTATGTCCAGTCAGTGTATGAACAGTTCACCGTCTCGCTGGGTATTTGGCATGTCTTGGTACTACAGACACAGACAGTTTAACTCACTAAACATCTGGAAACATGTCTATTCAGTGTGAGCTTATAGTTTGTAATAAAAAAAATGTTCCACTGAGTTTGTGGAATGAGTTTTATTTTAAGATCATGATTTTTACATGTGCTTTTATAGCAATAAATTTATAAGAAATATGTGGGTGGAGTAGGACTTATAAAAGGCTGGTCTTTTTTGCCTGCTATCATAGTTACTCTCTCTAATCATAGAATCATAGAATGGCTTGAAGGTTATCTAGTTCCAACCCCCCTAAAAATCGCTTACCACCCCAAAATCTAATTCTAAAGCATGAGTGCTGTCTACCTCTAAATTAGTTTTCAGCTGAAATTCCTTTTAGTAGACCATTTTCAGGCGTGATGTTTTATTGCAATCAGGGGAAGAGCAAAATGTTAAACTCTTGTTTTTCATCTCCGTAATTGAAAGCAGACGTGTTAGTCAAATCCAAGATGAAAATCCATAAACTAAGTTATCAAGTTACTGCAGTGTGTTTATATGATTATTTAAGATTTCAGGCAAAATCTGATAGCAGGTCAGTGGATTTTCAAAATCTATTTATTTATTGATATGTATAGCCTATTCTGCAAGCTTGATATCAACTCATGTACTGTCAATAAATAGCTGTGTCAAGACCAACTTGTTCAGCAGTATTTTTATTAGCATTTTTGAAAAGGAAAGGTGAATCATAGCTCTTGCAGAACTTGCCTGAGATAGTTACCCAGGAACATAAAAGAATATAAACTTGTTTTCATGAGTTATGGATAGACCTAAAGAAGTAGGTGTCAAAATCAATTTGATAAGCAGAATAAGTGTCTACTGTCTTCAAAGAATACTTGTGAAGAACACAAGGGGAATGAGACAGAGAAGGTCAAGAAAGAGAAGTTTGAAATCTAAATTAAAAAATCATGGTATGGGTAAGAATCTTCATGGTAAGATAAAATGGCTTCTTATGGAAAAGATAAATAAACCGAACTCTGTGAATACAAGTAGCAAACAGTGGTGCCTGCCAGTGACAAGGAATAAGGAAAATGGAAGAAGCTGAGGAAGGAAGAAAATAGCAGATAATTTTAGCCAGAATAGACAAATGTTTTTGTAAAGCACTCGGGAAATGTCAGGCACATGTATTTACATGTGGATTAGATGAAAGGAAATAGGTCAGGAGCTGGGATTTTAATAGTTAAGTCATTACATGCAACTGGAAGATTGCATGACATTATTCCAAGATAAAATGTGTAAGTGGAGGCAGAAGACTAAGACTCTGCTGAGTCAGAAATGACAGAAAGGCTGTCCGCAAAGAAGTTAGTGAAGGAGTCAATAGGAGCAAGAGGGAAGATATTGCAAGAGGTCACATGAAGCCAAAAGAATATGAAGTGGAGGAAGGGTCAATAAAGATCAGTGAAGAGACCTAGAAGAATGTGAGGAATTCTTGGGCATAATATGGTGTTAGTAAAACGTAGCTTGGAAACAGGAATAGTCAAAGTAGTAACTACAAAGGCAGCATAGTGGGTATTTTTCATTGGCAGGAACACGGCATACAATAAGGGAAAAATTACAATAGTAACTTGCCAGTTTATCAGACAAGATGATGATTCTTATCCTGCTACAGCCACCTCTGGCAAGACAGTAGGGCACTGCAGTGAGTTATGCTGAAATTACTAGTAAAAATTGTGTTGAAATTCTTCTCTTGTTGACAGAACACAACAATCTTCAGTGCTAATGTGCACTGGCACATCTTCTGCTAATGCAGTTAATGAAACTACTTGCCTTCACTTTAAAATAAAAAGTTAACACTTTTTTTCCCCAGCACTTGTGAGTCCCCTGTGCTTAGTATAACCTAGTTTACACTTTTTAAAAGTTTGAGAGATTGTCCTCTGGTTTTCAAGTCTGCAATGTTTGATCTTGAAAAGGAATTGAAGAAAAATTTCTAAATTCTCAGGAATTTTCACTTGAACTCATTTCAGTTAATCCAATTTATTTCAAGTTTTCCTTCAGAAAGAGCTGACAGACAGCTCTGATGAAGATTTACATATTTACTGCTTAAGTACAGGAGAGTCATGTTATTTTTGAGATTGCCAAATACAAGCCAATAGCTTGTAAGATGTTTCCTGGTAAGAAGCTTTTAGTATTTACTAAGCTCTGCACTGTACAAATGATACCAGCACTACATTTGAAACAGAACAGACTATCAGTCTGCTCTGAAGCTCTTTTACTGGCTGAGTTCTAGGTTCAGAGCACAGAGTACCTTTAATGTCAGTACTTCCAAAGAAAATCTCAAAGAGCTACATAGCAACTTGTGGTTCAGTATACATAATTTGACTAATGAGGAAAATCTCATATAAGAGTTTTAATAATGTCTCTAACAGAACCTTTCCTAACTCACTGCTGTATAACTATATATATAAAAAAAAGGATCTTTATTTTCTACAGGTTCCTTCCATATTCATTAGTTACTTGAACCTTGTCCCATTGTGCTGTACATTTTATACAGTCAGTATAGTCTTCAGACTATTCCTTAAATGTAACAATAGAAGAAAATCAGAATCATTCATCTTTGTCCATTTATATTTTCAATAACCATGCTTACAGAGTAGGTGTCTGTCATTTAAACAGTATATAATAACATTATTGTTGTTATTATTGCTGATTCTCTGGTCAGATGAAAATAGAGAGATCCCAGTATGAAACGGACAACAATTTTACAAAATTGAGAAGGTGTGGGAATGTTAGAGCATGAATTTGTTTTAAGCTCTGAGATGTGCTGCTCAGTCATATTTTCACATACTTCCTATTTCAATTGCTTTAATTTAAATATATATGTTCACTTGGACTTGCTCCAAAGCTCTTTGAGGTCTGCCTGTTATTTATTACAGTACATTTTGGATCATGGCCTTTATACAAACGAGCAGGACTAATAATAAATAACTTACAACATCTTATATAAAACTTCTCAATGA